TTAAAAAAGAAGTATAAATTATTAGAAGTGAAAAATAAAGATATATCATCTACCCTTTTAAAGTTTACAAACAATAAAAAGAACTTAGATATGATGATCGGAAAACAACAAACTATGTTTCATAAAAGTGGTTTAGGCTATAAACCTCATAAAAAACAAAAAATATTTGTAAACTACTTTGTTAAAGAAAGTTCAATGTCTACTATTGTTTGCAACGGATGCAGAAAACTTAGTCATAAAATTTATGCTTGTAAGTTGAGGAAAAATGATGCGTTAAATGAAAAGAGATGGATTCCTGAATTTTTGCTTACTAACCCTTAAGGACCGAAACAGGCTTGGGTACCTAAAGTTATATCTTGATCTTTCTTCTAGGTATGTTTGAGATCAATAAAGAACAAGTGGGTACTTGGATAGTGGGTGTTCAAAGTACATGACGGGAGACCACACAAAATTCACACACCTAGAACAGAAAGATGGAGGATACGTTACCTTTGGTGATAATAAAGGAAGTAAAATCATTGGGCAAAGGTAATATAGGTAATATGGTTCAAACTTTTTGATTGAGAATGTGTTGCTTATTGATGGTTTAAAGCATGATCTTTTAAGCATTAGTCATGTGATAAAAGCTATAAAGTAGTATTCAATGATAGGAATTGCATAATTGAAAATGCTTGTGACGGAAAAATACTGTTTGTAGGAAATAGGGATAGTTTATACTATTGAATTGAATGACTACCCTGTTGTTAATAATAAAGGCTTGTCTGTTATGCATGATGATTTTGGGTTGTGGCATATAAGATTAGGTCATGCTAGCATGTATTTGATTTAAAATATTTCCAAAAAATCTCTTGTTTGAGGTCTTCCAAAATTTAATTTTGAAAAAGACAAAGTTCGAGATGCATGTCAAATGGGTAAACAAACTAAGTCCTCCTATAAACCAAAGAAAATAGTTTCTACTTCTAGGCCTTTGCAACGATTACATATAGATCTATTTTGACCTACTAGAGTTGCAAGTCTAAGTGGAAAACATTATGCTTCCGTTATAATTGATGATTTTTCAAGATTTACTTTGGGTTTTATTTTTATCTCAAAATCTTCATTAGTTTTTCAAAGAAAATTCAGAATGAAAATGGTTTTATGATTTAAAAAATTAAAAGTGATCATGGAGGAGATTGACAATGCAGCTTTTGAAAAGTTTTGTGATGAAAATGGTTTTTCAAACGATTTTTCTTCTCGAAGAACACAGTAACAAAATGATGTTGTAGAAAGGAAAAATTGTTATTTGCAAGAATTAGCTACTTCTTTGTTAAATGAGTATAATTTACCAAAATATTTTTGGGATGAAGATGTTAATACTGCCTCTTATGTGATGAACCGTGTTTTAATAAGGCCAATTTTGATAAAACCCCTTATGAGCTTTTTAATGATAAAACTCCTAATATCAGCTATTTTAAAGTTTTTTGTTGCAAATGTTTTATTTTGAAAAATAAAGAGAAACTTAGAAAGTTTGAGTAAAAAACGGACATTGGCATGTTTTTAGGATATTCTGCATGTAGTAAAGCATATAGAGTTTTTAATAAAAGAACCCTTATAGTTGAGGAGTCCATGAATGTTGTTTTTTATGAATCTCATATTTACGATTCATACAAATCTAGACGTTAAGGGCAAAACATATATTTGTCATAATTGTAAATATGGTATTTAAAAAAATATTAGTCATTGAATATCTACAATATTGACTAATTATAATACTATGCATCAGTGATCATGTACCTACCTTTTTATTAAATGTAATCATTGATATATGCATACACATTAACTGGTTGTAATCACTAATATAAAATTTTGATAAACTGATAAACACAACTTTCACTGCCAACGTAAGCTTAGCTCAATGGTAATTAACAATTATCTCTAATCAAAAGGTTATGAGTTCGAATCCCCCCATCTCACTTATTGTATTAAAAAAACGTAACTTCTATGTATTTGTTGGGAAATTAGACATTCCACACAATTGAGAATAGGTTACTGTGCTGCCACGCCTCTATATCACTGCACCAACATTGTTTTGATCCCCCTGTGATGTCGTTGAGACACTACCCTTGGTGTCTCAACCCTACAGACGCTGTGGCGTTCAACTAGCATGCGAACGCCTCGTTTTTTTCTTTTAATTACAACAGTGTCGAGATATTATGTACAGCATCGAGACGTTGTCCTCTCGGCCATCTTGGCTCCTTCAGCGCCCAAACACGTTTTTCATCCTATCTTCAATTATTCCATTGTCCCAATTCGTCCCGACTCGATCCTAACTTGTTCCGACGTCGATTCGACTCTACCAATTCTAAGAGTATTGTGTTTATTTGTTATTGTTATCAACTTTTAAAATAATGCTTCCAAAGCTAATTCAAAATTTGAAAATTAAAAAGTAGTTAAAAAAAAGCCTTTTGTTGAAAATTTTGGCTAAAATTTCAAATGTATTTTTAATAAATGAGAAAAAATATCGAATTTGGAGAAAATATGCACAATTTTTTAAAATATAAAACGTAACTAATAACAAACTGGTTATTAAACAATGTATAATATATATTGGTTAACTATAATCATTTATATACCTTGATTAAGTATAATCATTAATTAGCTATATAATCAATCATATATCACATGTTATAATTTTTGCTATATTTGCAAATTTGTTGATTTTAATTTGTATCATTTAAAGTAGATTATACTAGAATTTTATTGATACTCAAGTATATTAGGGCTACTTGGCAATACAGCAGTTAATTATAAATATATAACACATTATTATGATTTGCAAATATAGTAAAAAATGGAAGGCCCCATGAAAATGAAAAAATGGCAAAGGTTATACTCTTGAAACTGGCGATTTTCTTACCCTTGCATTTGAAGGATAATACTCATTTATCGAAATATTATGTCACAAATACGCCTCAATATGTTATATCAGTAAAGAGATCAAAGTCATTAATACATTATTTCACTGTCAAAGCGATCATGGCTTAGTACTATTTGATATATATCTTAAGAGGTCGTGAGTTCGATCTTCCATTCTCAGGTGTTGTACTCTAAAAAAATACACTATTTAACTTATATACTTGATAAAATAATTTGCATGTTAATACAAATATTGATATATAAATGATATACTTGATCTATTATATCATTGATATACCTCATATATTATATCACTGATATACCTTATAGGAAAATAATATACACGTTAATATTAATGTTTTTTTAGTACAACATATGAATGTTGATATGCCATTGATATAACTGACTTATTATATACATACATCGTCAATATACCTCATATGTTATATCACTAATGTATTATTTCAATACACGACTATCACACGAACAAATCATTCTTCATCGCATAAGCCCATGACAAGTCATTTCCAGGCCCAATCGTGATATTAATGGATCAGACCTTTTCTCGAAAATAATAAGTATGTTAATATGAATATATGTTGATATACTACCAATATATTTATGATCTATTATATTATTGATATACCGAATATATTATTTATGATTTCAAGATATAAAGATATAGTTACTTCTGAAGATAATATTGAATCATAGAATATGGTTAAAATTATAAATCATTAATTATAGTTAAGCAAAAGTAGTTTATCATATTGTAGGACATCTTCAAAGATTCCCTCTCAATTATCATTTGTTTTTTAGCTCAATTTCTTCCCACCTTTTCTAACAGCTTCTCCACTCTCGTCTTACTTTATTCAATCCATATATTCTTTTATGATCAATTTATTTTCCAATACCTTCTATTTTTCATTTTGTCCCCTTCTGAACAGAGCTAATATAATATGAAAAGATTGTAATAATAATGTCAAAAGTTTTTAACACTAAGCTTAAAATATAAGAATATCTCAAAAGAAGAAAAAAAAAAAAGAAAAGAAAAAGACTAGCTAAAATATAAGAAAACTGATTTTTTTTTTTTAATATAGAAAACTGAGTTCTATATATATTGATTATACCTTTCTAGACTTCCACTAATATATGAAAAATAAAGGATAAAGTTACAAATTTAGCACTCGAAATTCTTTTAGAAGTTATTTTTAATAAATCATTGAACTTTAAAAACTGTCAAATAAATTTTTAAACTTTCAATTTTGTGCTAATAAATCGATTCTCGAATTTTAATAATGTCTAATAGGTCATTTTACTTTTATATGTCTAGAATTGTAGCCTATTCTAGAATCGTGGACTATTCAACGGTGTTTTTAAAATTCACGGACCTATTATATACAAAATTAGGATCCTAATCTTTAAATTTTTTTGTCTAAAGGTTCGTGTATTTAAAAGAAATATATAATAGATTAAGAATTTGTTAGACACAAAATTCAAAGCTCAAAGATTAGTAAGATACTTTTAAATTTAGGAGCTTCCTAGACAAAAATTTAGAGTTTTTTGGACTTTTTTAAATACTTTTTAAAGTTTGGACACCTTGTCTAAACTAATATGGGAAAACAAACAATTTCGATCTTACCACAAAATTGGAGAAGATTATGTAGAGAAAAAAAAAAGTTAATATCGTCTGGGAGAATGAATTAAGTGAATCATGTAAATAGAAATCTTGGATTTGGTCGTTTTATCATGGGTGTTATTGATCCTCGAGGTGGTGCAATGACAAGGACCTTGAACCTTGTGGTATCACCTATCATGAGATCTTGGATTAAATCCTCGATTGATGGTTGTATTACTCGGCCCAACCAACCAGCCCTAATTCATAGGATAAGCCGCACATGATATCAGTTTTGAGAAATTAAAAAAAAAATCATAGGTGTTTATGGTTCTTTGGTTTACATTTTGTACATCACTAATAGATTATTATAAATGTAATGCAATTTATTTGTCATTTTCTGATCAACCAATTAAAATTAAAGGAGAAAACATGACTTTGGGAGAAACTATATCAAACTTGAGAAGACAAAGTAGCCAAAAACTGTGAATCATATTCAAATGTAACTTATTTTATATTAAAGCAAGCATAATAATCTAACGTCGTCATAGTTTTACATGAGAGTCATTATTTATTTTTTACAAATCCCACAAGCCTAAGTAGCACAATAATAATTAAGCAGACACATATATCAGCCCCTGGAAAGATGACTCCAAAATGCAAGACACAACTCTCAAACAACATATGAAATAGGACGTATCAAAATGAAAGCGATGGACGACAACGCTCGAATCGAGACATGAAAGGCTATTTATTTAAGGTGGGATTCGATGTCCTTGGTAATATTATTCATGAGGTCAAGGTACTTGTAAGGATAAGGAGAACCATCGTCAAGTTTCTCATATTCCAAAGTCAAAACTGCCAAGCTATGCTCGGGATCCTTCGGTACAACTTGATATATTCCCTTAAAAGTTTTGTAATGGTTGAACACATCTCCTTCCAGTCCAACTAGAGTTACTGCAAATTTCTCATCATCAAATTCCACTCGCTCTTTGAAAACCTCCGTCTTACCATCTAAACAAGTCACGTTCAAAAACAAAAAGAGATCAAGATTAGGTCATCGTTTGTTAAGACAACTGAAAAGAAAAAAACGATATCGTAACGTGAACGGTAGTCGTTTAAATACATACCGATGGTATAATTCCAGATCTTGATGGAACCATGACCATGACTGTCCCAATCACCTTCATGAACTTGAATTTGTTGGATAATATTTGGGGAAATATTGGGAACATGAAAAGCTTGATCTTTGAAGATTTTGTAGTATTTCTCAGCAGGAGCATTTATTTCTAATTCACTCACAAACTTCCCACAAAGAGACATGCTTTCAACAAAATTACTCTCTCAGATTTTGCTTCACACAAGACACACAACAATACCCAATGCCTTCCCCTTTTTATACACCTCTAATGATATGTGAACTCTTTTAATATATTTTATTATGGTTTTAGAAATTTTGCCATCTTTACAAAGCAAAAAAACTCGGGTAATATATTTACAAATAAGACACATATTTTTGCTCGGAATCGATGTCGTGTGACTTGCACTATAAATCTTTATAAACGATGCTCGTTGCCTCGCTGAGCATGAGTGACTAACAAGACCCTTGCCACTGCACCATCCTCAAGAGACATATTTTTTCTACACATTAAAAATACTCGATATGTTATTTGGGTTTCATCTCAAAATATATTATTTGAGTCCATCCTAGCATACTAATCTATATTATTGTGCATTATATAGAATTATACAAAACTCTTTCCATATCTAAAACAATAATTTTTGCCTATCCATGATTGCTTTATTTCATAATTCAGTGGTATCCATGAGTTGTAAATAGACAAGAAAGCCCAAGGAATTAAATATAATTTAAAAATGAAATCTACACTTCTAAAAATTATTATTTTTAGATAGCTTGAAACATAATTTTATAACTAGTCTCCCTTTAAAATAAATTTGTGTGAATAAAATATTTAATTATTAAAAACATTAATTGTAGTGTTAAGGTGAATGAAAAAATTAAAACACAAACAGAATCCACACACACTTAAAGCTCTAGTGAGTTAAATAATAAATTTAATGATACAGTTTCAAAGATTCATTCTTATAACTTTAATGGATTAATTCATTAATCCACCAACCAATTAGGCTACACACCGCTCTCAACGGTAATTGGCATAATCTTCAACCAAGAGTTTGTGAGTTCAATCCCCCACCCCTATACGTTGTATTAAAAAAAATATAATTTTTTTTTACAATATGGGGTGGAGATTCAAACTCACGATCTTCTAATTGAACATAGCTGGTTTATTTCACCTAGCTACTCTCAAGTTGGTTTTTTTTAATTTTACATCATCAAATATGGTTAAAGATTGAAAGAAAAATTTAAATAATAATTAAAATATATCTAATATTTCCAATAGTTTGTAATAATAGTATGAAACCTTCAAAAGATTCCCTCTCAATTTTCTTTTGTTCTTTTAGCTCAATTTCTCTGCACTTTTCTCTAATTACTTTCCTCACTCTCTACTTGCTTTATTCCATCTGTACATATATATATATATATATATATATATATATTCTTTTATCAATTTGGTTTATTTTACTGTCTGTTTCTCATTTTGTTCCCTTTTGTTACATTCTATTGTGAGGAAGATATAAGATCTAAATAGAGAAGCTATACTAAACCAGCGAAAATAGAAGCAATCAGATTAGGAAAATAAAAATGTAACCTAGAAAAAGAAAACTATAATTCAATGACAAAGGCAATAATATTGGAGTACATCAAAACTGAAGTCGAAATTTTCTATGCTTTGGAATAGCAATTTCCTGACCCCAGTAAGTCATGGAATGACTAAACATCAGTTTCTTTTGTAGCCCACGTGACATCTCGTTCTTTAATTAAATTATATTTCTCTCTTTACCTAACAAAGAAAAAGAAGGACAAGAAAAAAAAATCAAATCAAATTAAAAAATTTAAGTCATCAAATATTATTAAAATAAATCAATAAGCATGCAAAAATAAAATATATAATAAAATAATCTTAGTTCATTCCAAATGTCTGTTAGAAAAAAGGGAGATAGATTAGTGGCATGGAAATTTTAAGGGCCGTTTGGTAACGTTCTTATTTTTTATAAAGAAAAATGAATTGCATGGTTCCAATATATATGAATTCAAATATGATAAAATAATTTTTTTATTTATGTTTTGGAACAAATTGAAAAGGGGAACAAAAAAGAAAATTTTGATTGGATTGTTTTCAAAATTTTATCACAAGTATGAAAATATTACTAAAAGATGAGAACAAAAAATAAAGTTAGTTGCAAAATGTTTAGATTTTTTAAGAAACTTGAAAACGAGAAACAAAAAATAAAAACGTTATCAAATGAGGCCCTAAAATATCGATGGAATACCTGAATTAACATGTTTGAATTGTGATAATATGTAAACAATTTGACATTTAAGATGTGGGGCATCTTACAAAGCCCATCTTGATTCTGGTTTAAAAGATGATTTTCTATATTCTGTTTTACCATGCATTCATAAAATGTTGAGATTTACTTCAAATTTTTTTTCCCAAGTTCTCTGACTTTTTCTTTATAATTTTGTTTTTCAAGAAAATATTTCCACATAATCTAGTCTATTCTTTCTCTTCCCTTGATATTTTCACACCCCCTTTCTTACTAGTTTCTCTATTATGCTTTCTTTTTGTATCTTCCACAATTTTTTTCATCATGTGTTTCTACTTAATTTTAGTAATATTTTTATATGAAATTTATGCCTAGCCACTAACCTTATTGTCTTGTTTGTTTCTATTTTCATGTTCTACATTTTTCTGTATATTTTTGTACTTCTCACCAATTTTTTGTAAAATAATTTATGCATTTTCACATTTTTGCAATTAAGGGGTATGGTGTTGGATCTAAAACTTGAAAATAATTTTTGTTTTCAGAAGCATTGAAAAGCCCATGCACGTGAAAAATGGTCGTTTGATGGAGAAAATTTTGAAAAAACAATCTAAGTAAAATTCTAACAAAATTTTGAAAAACATCGTAACAGTTTTCTGTGTTTCCAAAATTATATTCAAAATTATTTGTATCATTTGTATCTTAACTTTTAATAAACCACCACTCAACCTAGAAACTTTCATCGATGGGATAAATTTAATTCATTTATGGATATCTAACATTTCATAATAGCAACCATGGAAATAAGAATAATCCAATAATAATAATATAATAAATTTATAACAAAATCATGTCAATAATGTTTGGGGGTGGAGTCAAAACAAGAAATGAGCCAAAAATAGACAAGGCCCATTAAGTAATGTGGCATCCTTTTATTTATACCAGTAAGAAACACGTGCCTTGCACGTAGAATGTTGTAGTTCTAAATTAAAGTAAAATAAATAGTGTTTTTTAAGTTTATAATATTATCATTTTAAAGAGAGAAAGTGATTATATATAAATATAAATTCAAGGTATGAAATTGTTATAATAAAAGAAGATGATGAAAGATTAGCATGGAAAGTAAGTACAAATTTGAAGTGTAAGAAAGATGAAAAAGCACCAACGTGTAAGTTTTTTTTTTTCAATGAGTGAACTTTCTTAATTTACCTCTAATTTTCTTGATTATAAATTATTATCATTTTATCTTTGTTAAATTGTGTGACGTTAAATCATTAAGTTTGTTTATTCTAGAATGAAAAATAAAGGTAAGAATGAGAGAAAGAGTAAACTTTAAAAAGTCCAACCTTATGATATTGAGAGGGATAAAAATTGTTTTTTGCCCTAACTTTGTAAAAATAATTACAACATTTCACATATATAAATCAAAAGCATCACTTTAAAAAAAAATAAATAAAAATCAAACTCATAAGCATTCTTGTTATCCAAATTATGAGAATGATCGAATTTTGCTTGCTCTCGATTCCATCGACCATCATCTCGACACATCGTACTCTAGAATTTCTTTCAATCTGAACAATGATAAATTTGGAGAAAGCGAACTGATGTCATCAACTCAGCTTTAATTTGGCTTCTCTTCACTATCAATTATCTTCTCGATCACCCATATGTGCATTGTTGTTGTCGTTGCTAAAGTAAGAGAGTAATCTTCATACCATCACACCACTTAGAAAATTTTCTACTTTGTTCCATCCACCACCTCTTGATTTTTGGTTGACATGAGAAAGAGAGGACACATATTTATATACGGATTGGAAGGGGGTTAGGAAGATGAAAGGATTGGGAGAGGGTATGTGATAATTGGAAGGGGGTTGGGAAGATGAAAGGATTGGGGGAGGGTATGTGGTAGATGAAAGGAGTGAAAAAAAATAAAGATAAAAATAATGAAAGAATAATTAAGAGAGAGAATATTAGTAAGAGAAAATAGGGGAATTTAGAGGGGTGAGATCGTGACGGAGAGAAGAGATAAATTGAGAGAGGGAAAATTTGTATTTAAATGACACAATTGTCATCAAAAGAAAAATGAAAAGACTTATAGTGAGAGGGCAAAAATAGTATATAGAGTTAATTATATAGAAGAGAGAGAGGAGAGAAAAACACTTCAAATTATAGGAGTAAAAAATAAATTAAATAGATGATAAAACTTTTCATATTCTAAACAAGATTAAGTGAAATTATAATTTTAANGAGGTAAATGACAAATTTGCCATCAAACTTTTATAAAAATGAGTTATTGAAGAAGGGTAAAATTGACCTAAAAAGTTTCTCCTCATCCCACATTTTATATATACTATAGATATACCTTTTGTTTTAGGCTTAGCCGTAAGTTAAAGAAACCAAAAAAGGGATGGCGGCACTTTGTGGCATCTAGAGAGAGGTAGAAACTGTTGAGAAAAATGCAGTAGACACTTAAAATGATTAGATAAAATAATCTAAAACTTCTAAGTAACAAGAACGAAAAATAAAGATTAGAGAGGAGAAAATTAAATGCCGGATTTATACTGGTTCACCCAGTGTGGGCTACGTCCAGTTCCTTACTACCGTTACAGGTTCTACTAAAATGTCAGGAAGAATCTCCCAAGAGTTTACAAGCCCCTTAAAATGATTTCTCTTAGTTTTCCCTCATACGGAGAACGCTCACGAATCACTCTATAAGTCTTTCATACTCTCGAACGGATACACAAGTATTTAGCTCTCGAACTCTCTCTTCTTGGAGAATTTCTCACAACTCTCTATTTGTGCACACCAATCAAATGACCCATCTATCTCTATTTATAATAAATGGTCTGACAAAAACTAAAAGGGAAAGGGAAAATAAAAAGATCCAAACTAAATAGGACAAGGAAAAATTTAAATGAATATTTTCTTAATAGGAAAAAGATTTTCTCTTTG